TGGGGGACCATCGTTCGCAACTACTGAAGTAAAATAGTAGCTGAGCCTCGACAAATAAACTCATTTGCAAATCAATTTGGTTTTAACGAGAGACTCAACTGAATCTCCTGTTTATGATATTCCTCAAGTGAATGTGAGACACAAAGGCCGCCTCATATTTCAGTTGGTACGATAGTTGACGTATCACAGTATATTTTCAAAAAGCAAACTACTCACGAGGTTGCTGAAAACTCTTCGACAGCCCAGGACCAGTTTTGCCCTTCCTAAGGCTCATCCGGTAAGCGTAGTCCCCGAGTTTCCATCAATCTTATGTTCCACTTGAACCCAAATTGGACTGGCTTCAACAAATACACTCATCTGCAAATTAATTCGGTCTTCGCGGCAGACTCAACTGCATCTCTCATTTATGAAGGGTGAAACCGGTTGTGTACTCTCGAATAATTTTCAGCAACCCTATGAGTAGTCTCCTTTATGAAAGTGGCTGAGTCTGTTCACATTGGGAAAATAACGGGTAAAAACAAGTTTTTCGTTGAAGATCATCCAGAGGCTGTTGTAGATTGGGGGAGAAAATCCATCTTGTACACTAGGGGGTTATCCAACGCCATCTTAGCGGTGTGTTATCAGGGGACTCCAAGAACACTGATATACTACCACAATGTGAGTGTGACACTCCGCTAGAAATTTGAAAACAGCCCCAACCACTTGATGACAAGCAAGAATCTGTTGCCAGAGATCGTCGTTATGCAATCGCGTCTGGACCAGTTGACCATTAGTAACGGGTCACTGTCTGATCGCCGGTCTTATTCGGGCTCAAATCATTATCAACACATGTGTGGGCGTTCAGCAACCCGACTATCACGGGCCAACAAATTCGCTTCCCATACAAAACGCCATGTATTTCTGACTATGAATTCCATGGATTCTACTTTACTATTAGTTGCGATATTTTATCGCATGAGGACTATGGAGGCTGAGAAAAACAAAGTGAATCAGCAGAAAACCTGGAAAACACCGGATACGCAGCTTAGCTTGACGACAAACGTCCAATCATGGGGCCGAACAATCTCACTGGCCTATCGCCCCGAAGGAATGTCACTATTTAAATGTCCATTCCTTAGTTGGCCTTGTTTTTGCCCTGGCTGGAGGAAAAATCCACTAGGCGGTCACAGAAATAATTGATCGAGTCCTGAGAATACTTTGGGCGCGACTGGATCGAACCTGTCCGACCACCACGCCTACAATCCCAGCGATTTAGGCGACCGGCATAACCTTGGCCTGGAAACCGCCCGTTGCCTCTTTCTCTCTCGCTCTCCCCCGCCATCATAGAGATTGCTGTCCAAGACACACTTCGATGGGCTGTGTGTCTCACACTCCTGCAGCTGCCCAATCAACTCCAGGCATGCTAGTCAAACGGACAGGCTTGCTTGCAACGAACCGTTCGCTCTCTACCTATATTTGGGTGTTCATTTTTCCACCCGATAATACTGCTTTGTTCCAACCCGGTCTGTGGTGAGAGCTCATTCGCTGTCTTCTGGGGAAGCTGTGGATCTAGTTCGGTGGTCCCTCATCAAGGTGGCTGTTCGATGGTGTAACGAGATCATCACAACCTACTTGATTGAGGGGCACTCGGGCTACACACGACGTGAACTTACTTTCACTTGGGCCAGAACAATGGAACGACAGAATGAAAAAAATTTCAAATGTCACTTCCATTCACCCGTAAACATGTTTGCCTCCCACACACATGGTACAAATGTGGATTTAACATGTTTCTGTGATTTCCGGAAGGTAACACGGAAAATGAAAGCAGAGTTGATTTATAACAGTACCATCAGATAGTATGTTTGTTAACGGGTGGATACAGTCAAACCTGTATCAGTTGTCAACTTTTAGAGGTAGGAAAAGTGTATATTTTCAATATTCGATAAGTTTTGAGAGTTGTTTTTGAGCAGTGGTTTTGAGAGTACCTAAAGGTAGTTGTGAGTGCGGTATGATGCACGTGTTTCAGCCTTTATCCTCGTTGACAGCGAATTTACCCGTGGTATTGGCGAATTAGTCAAAACCGATACACATTGCAAGATGAAGATCTGTCGAGTGATGCAGATCATCAGAACGGAGGGCTGCAGGCAACTGGAAGGCTGCTACGTGGGGTTCGACCTCGGGTCGTCAAAGTGGTGGTGTATGATCTTATCCAATCGCCCACTGGGTCCAAGTCAGCTTACTGCGCACGAACCAACAAATTAGTCCCTATATGATCGGGCGAACCGATGATAAACAAGTAGGGAATATCATCTACAAGGAAATTTCTGCACTCACGAGCGGATCAAGGGATATGTGGCTCGGAAAATCCGGCCATATACACAATTCTCCCCATTTATTCCTCCCAAGTGAGCACTGCTCAGTAGAGAAGTCAGTTTGTCCCGTGTTTATCGTTCAGCTGTAGCACCCTTTCGCTGCCTCGCTCCTCTGCCACCCGAAGGTTGCACGAGGGTTAGGATACTGCCAGGTTGCCCAAGCCTAGACAGCGGAAGTCGAGAGGCAAAGGTCGGGTCCGAACCACGGACCTTCCGGTCAGTAAATTCACGCTCTAACCACTTGAGCCATCTCACCTTATCCACTGAATAGGTAGGAAAAATACCAACCGATAACAGTGACAGGAAATCAGGGAAACAGAGTTCATCTTTCTTCATAAAGCAGCAACTGATTTCTGCCCTCAAATGATGACGCAGGATATTGCAACGCGAAGTTTATCCATGTCGATTACGCCTATACTATCGTTTGTTTTTGAAGAGCATGGTCACAGAAATGAAACGTTAATGCAAACGATGAATGCGAAAGGGTTACGGGAGAATATGTCATGGGAAAAGAGAAGCGTCTCGTTCGAAGTCATGTCACCAACAGTTCCAGGCAGATAAGATGAATCTCAACGTAGGTAAAAAAAAGTTTGGAATGGAAACGCGTATAAAGACCAACAACCGAATAAAGGACAAACAATAATGAATACACTTCAAAGAGCGGTAAGCGCTAGCACAGTCAAGACGCGCACGTCAGGCGCAAAGTTACCATCATGCTAGGTCTGATGTGAGATCAAGTGGCAAAAATGTGCACTCGACGCCATGTACCACGCATAAAATTGTCCTAAGTACGCAGAGAGCTCACACTGGCAAGCGAACACAAGTCACTGACTGCGACCTTAGGAAGTCCCAGTCCAATAACAGTCTTGGTGGATTGAAGAAAGCAGATTCCTCGATAAGAGATGGTCATCGGTGATGATATGAGTGGTTCTGTTGAGACTTCGGTTTTCTAAAATTCTGGCGAGCGAATATTCGGCAGCGCCATACTTCTGATTCTTCTCATTTCACAAAGTCATTTCGCGCCAATCCGAGACTATGCCTATGTCTATCACAGCTGCTCGGCACTCTCGAACAACGATTAGGTCAGGCTTGAAGAAATACGTCAAAGTAGGTGCTCTTATCTCCTCCAAGACGGTGTATCTCAGGCGACGGAAACGCTTTGCGAGTTCTCTTGCAACCCGATTATAACGAGCATATCTGGCGTCATGCGTGATCCAGCAAGACTGCAAAATATGCACCAAACTCTCCGGTCGGCAACAGTTTCTACGACATAAGGTCGTGCCGAGCGCTTCTAACCCTCATCCTGAGCAGCTTTCATCGGAACTGGGTACCGCGGATAAATACCCGAGGAAACACTCGTTCTGGAAGTACAAGCCGTCGATTAGAAAGAGGCGAAGCGACCAACTCTCGTAAACCAGCCCTTCCTTGATGTGTACACATGTATCATGGACTCGGATCGGAAGGCTGAGATCTCGAACAATCTTGACAAGTGCGGAATCGCTGACCACATTACGTAGTGCTCGGCACTGAGTAGAAAGAACCTTTTCCATACGCGTTCTCCGCTGCATCAGGATTGTTGCACTCAGACTTGGGGTACCAAGTCCCCCAAGTTGTTTACCGGCGTGGATGTAGCTGATCGGAATGTCCTTCTATAGACGTAGCCGGCCACTAATAGATTGCCTGATCCAATTGTCCAACCTTTTGAGCGTGATTCGATGGATTTGGCCGAGCACGAGCGAATATGTCAGCCACGAAGTCAGGTAGTTCCTCGTGATCTCCATTCTTTGATGCGACTTCAAAGGGCAGGCGTCACCTCTTCGAGTATTTTGAGCAGATTCTGTCAGTGCTAAAGACCCTTTCTCCTTGAAAGTAAACGGAATGCCTAAATATGTTACGATGTCTGTCGTACCCAGGGGAGTGATGTGTTCATTGGCGAGGCACAATGGTTCGACTGAGACTGCTGTTGCCCGATGTTTCTTGTCCCCACAAATAACCATCACTTTCGTCTTTCAGGCGTTTATCTTCCTACCAACTCAACCGCAGCTGCTTCAAGCTTCTCTTGAGGCCAGCTTGACCTTCTGCACATACGACCCAGTCGTCAGCGAAGGCGAAACCATCTATTAGGGTGTCATGTTTTTAGTATACCGGCTTCGACATCGACAATCCAATAACCTAACTCATTGCCACGATGAACAATAGTGGGGAGAGTGGATCTCTTTGCCTTCCACCTCTGTGGCAGTGAACCTCGGAACCGGGGAAAACTGCCACAGCATTTTCATATGACTGTGCGATGATCGAACTCGATGTGATGCTCCAAACGCCATGGCAGATCTGACGATTGTTTTATGCGAAACCGAATCAAACGCTTTCGAGATATCAAAAACACCAAACTGAGGCTGGAAGCAATCGCTGAAGAGTGACGAAGCAGAGAATGTAACAGCGATGTAGCTTCCCAGCAGAAATGCAAATTGGAGTGAGGGCAGTTACAATCTACGACCCCAGCAATCAGCAAGCACCTTATGAAAGCAACAGACAAGAATGGATGACACAGAGATCGGTCTCAGTTGATTCGGTGAAGTCGGTGAAGTTGGGACCTTCGGGACTAGAGTAATACGGGATGACACAGATGTGGGGGACAAGCCGGCACTAAACCGGTGGAGCATCCTTGACGTGAGCTTGTCCAGGCCTGGGGATGAATTGCCCATTAAGTGGATCGTACAGCGGACTGCTTCTCCCGTAAGTGGCTCGATCAAGATCCAATCGGGTGGTACTGCCTTGCGACTTGGCCATCTATCAACGTGTTTTGGAGATGAGAGCACCCGTTTCCAATACTGCTAGGCGTCCAGAGGTAGACCGCAGTTACCTTCGTATAGATCCTCCCATCACCCATCGGGGACACCAGACGCTGCACCTTTTCGTCTTTTGTGGTATAGAGTCTGGATAGTGGCGTAGTTGGTCCGACGGATCTGCTTTCAGTTGACCGACATCCGATGGGCCGACTGACAGCGGCATCCGGATGCAGTTTTCCGGTGTATGGAAATGTCCTGGAGGCGTGGAAGTCCAGAAGCGACAGGACTTGCTCCGGTGTCATGATGCCAGACTGCAACCCTCGAGCAAGTGCCAGAAGGTCGACACTAGCAAGCGAACTGTCAGCATGGCACTCCTAGAGTGGCACAGCACAATCCACGGTTTGTTTAAACCAGACGCTGTAATCATCGGTTTCTGACGAGTAGGTCACTATTGGACTGATAGTTTTGTCAGGGCCATCAGATGATGATTCGTCATGTTATACTTGCCAGTTAAGCACTTGTAACCTGGTTTCTGTGCTGATATCCGATCGACCAAGAAAATACTGGTCCAATCTTGCGAGCAACGCGGTTTGCGGGACACAAGACGGATACAGACTGTTATCCAGCGCAAGAGCGATTGTGACTTTTGTTGGGACCAGCGGGTACCGGAATACTTCACTCGGCCAAGTTTGTCTGCATTATGCCGGGTGGTGTGTATGTGCTGGCGATGTTGACTCAGGCCAATCTTCCTCGGAAAAAGGCGGGAACAATCAGTGCAGGCCAATTGGGCGACCATGTTCGTACCAACGATTTCATTGTCGTGAACTCGATGGTGAGCTACCAAGCCAGCTTTCGATTTGCAGCACTTGCCACATTCCTCACACGTGAACCCAACGAGTCTCTCCTGTGTGCTGGTTGGAACTGGTGCGGAGGCGCCAGATGATTCGTAGTGTACATTGTCGAAAGTAACTAGCACATTTAAACCAAACGGGATTGTTAGCCCTGTTTGGAGTTACTGAACTCTTGGCTCAACCACACTGACGTCCAGGTTACCCAGTCGACACCACGAGGCGATGGTTCAGTTCGCCAACTCGATGATTATTCGGTTAAAGGTTAGAGTTCTGGGAGACCTGACGGTAAAGACGGATTCGCAATGTAACCACCAAAATAACCTTGTCACGTAAAATCTCGCGCCGCCTTAACCAATGGATAACAAATCACGTTTGTAGCCTGGTGCAAAAATCTTAACGCTGTCTAATCTGATGAAAGAGAAATTCAACCGAGTCTTCAGTGAAGACAAAATCGACATGCAAATGAATCTGTTTGTCGTAATTTTTCTCCAGTTTACAGGAAGCAAGTGTGATGAATTTGTGACCTTGAAAGCTGTGAAAGACAACTTAGATGTGGCAACACTAGCTTCCATGCGTGACAAACTGCATAACTGAATTGCGTTGCCGACGCAGGTGACTCCGACTCGCACTTTAATGAGGGCCTTTAGATGGCCTACCTACAAGATAACTGGTATGATACCTGCAAAGGTCATATGCGGTTCATTTATCTTCCAGATGAAGAAGTAATATAATGTACTGGTGGTGAAAATGAATGTATGCAGGTTATTTCTTCCTTTCTTAGATGTACCTGGCACAGCAACCTACTGTGATTTTCTGCTCTGGATTGAGATCCCTCCGTAACAACACTGGAAAAATTCACCAGAAAAGTATTTATGCAGTAGTTGGATTTGGTTTATAGGAAGACCACACAGCCTCCTTGGTCCGGTGCCTAATGCAATTGTGATAGCGTCTAAAACAGCAACACTGAAACTTTAGTCATTTATTCGACAATCTTAGGAATTAGAAAATAAACGCCTGATACTTTAACCAGTCATATGGGTAGCGTCTCTGTGGTCAACTCAAAGCTTATCCCGTAAACTGTGACAAGCAAACGGGGTTTACTCTCAGTAGATATCAAAGTCTTCTTATTGAGTGCGAATAAGGCTGGCCTCTACTAGACATCCATGGACATCCAGGCGCTTCGCCTGTGAAAACAACACCAGTTTACCACCAGAGCATACCTGGATGCCAGAAAAGATATTGCAACAGTGGTTGCAGTAACTGGACGAAATTCTGTACCCGAAATGAACAATGATGTGTACGAGTGTGGGTGTTTTCGGAGCAGAATGATGAAGATAAACTGGGTCATTCGGTTCCCGAATGGCTTACAAACCTGCAAGTACAATGTACACAACGAAAGTTGCTTTCAGGCCAATCTACCTTACTGATGCTGTGGCAATAGTCAAGAAATCTACCTTTAGACTGGTAATCCAGTAGGCTCCATCACAAATATACACGGAATCCGGTTGATGTGACGATCTACAAATGAATTACTAGCATACTGTTAGCCAAATGGGCCGCTTCCCATCATTTGGAGATTTCGGCTGTACAGTTCCTTGTCATGCAAGACAATGAAGTGGAGGTCAGCCCAACCACTGCCATACTATACTGCACCTAACATCAAGGCGCAAAACAATGCACCAAGATATCAACTTTAATATGACATCATTTGATGATAATGTCCGTTTTTTGTTCTTTACGTGACAGGGGAATCTGAGGACAAAAACAACTTAAAGGATGAAGGGGGTCAAAGAGTGACGAAAACAAACGACAAAATCCAGGTTCGCAGAAAACGTCACACTCTATGAACGACAGGTAATGAGTTCTGCAAATACGGCATTCTGGCACATAAACAGCATCCTATTCTCCATCACCTCTCAAGTACAAACGGACTTTTTCCAGTTTAGCTATCTGCTTCCATAATCATTCAGTCGACCCGAACAGGGGAATTTTACTGCGCTCCTTAATGGGGATGTTCCAGATCTTTGTTCGTCGACCAATGTATTTAAAAGCGAGAAAACTTGTGCATGTAAGATACGGTTTTGCATGATCAATCAAGCTTCGATACAAAGCTGCGGGAATAAACTACCCTAGCAAATATGGGTATGTTAGTAAAGACCAGTCAGATTCGTGGTGACTAGATTGAACCTTTTCCTCCACCACTCTGGCCACATTACTAACAACCAATGCAAACATCAGTTCACACCAAAAACATGGTTTGCACCTAGACTGGGACCGAGCACAGGGCTGGTTTGATAGCTCAGGTATCTGGCCACATTACTAACAACCAATGCAGACATCAGTTCACACCAAAAACATGGTTTGTACCTAGGCTGGGATCGAGCACAGGGCTGGTTTGATAGCTCAGGTTGTTTAGCTGGTGGTGGAGTTGCTCGCTGGGAAAGGCAACTTCGCAAAACGCAATCAGTAGGAAGAATCGACCGGGCAACCAATCACAATCGAAGGGCACTCCCTTCAGATGCCTGTTTATGAACTCTCGCACACCACTTTTAAACGCACAAACCCCAACAGACAGCTCTTCTCGCATCACAGGAACGCAGTGATGTCGCCTCGAGTGGTGACGAAAGACTTGCAAAATAATGCCAAGCTCAGTGAACAAGTGGACCAACAACAGAACGGGCTGACGGCAAACTTTTGAATGTCACTGGTGTCTGCGTCGTGACCATATGACTGAATGAATGTAAATACATGTTCAATATTCCTCAGCCAGCCACCGGTAAACGATTTGAAAAATCTTTTCTCTTGGGGAGGTTATTTCATTCCATTTTCATAAACATAAACATTAATTATCACGGTTCGTTTTGGGCATCACTATGTATGTAAGCATATCTGCCATTGGTGCATTAGCGGGAGGTGTGTGAAGACACTCCAAGGCGCCTGATGCTTTTTTGAGCCACTCAGGCTTGCGGAAGTCTATTCTGCAGACAGACTAAGTAGTATGATTCAGAGTAGACCTTCATCTTCAGTGTGTCAGCCAACAAACGCCGGGGCTGTCAGCTTCCTTTGCACATTAAGTGCATTGTAATGAACTAACAAATTCATATCTGAATGATATCACCACAGGTCAAAACGAACAGTCTTTAGTGAGAAGCAGTGTAACAAAAGTGGATCAAGTGGATATCTGTCGCGAAAGTTTTCGAAATTGGTAACAACTGGACCAGGTAGCTTCAGAATCAGATGGCTTCCTTTTAAGAAGGAGTTGGAACGATATTCAAGAGTAGAGCACCCAGTTCACATTATGGTTAGGGTACTTGAATGTCGGGAGAGCTCACTTGAAGGCCACTCATTTCTTCCACTGAAGGGGTAACTCAGTTGGTTTATACTGGGGACACAGCCTCAAAGTATGCAGTGATGATGCCGAGATCGACTACTTCGGGAAACGTTGATCAATGTGAAAAATCTGCACCAGCGTTCCCATTCGGCCACAGCCCAGCAGAGGACCACAACCAGAGAAGACTAGCCCAACTCAAATTAAATAGCACACTTCTATGTTGAGGTTCCTCTCCAGGAGAATACTGAAGCATAGTTTGCTGAGACATCTACAATACTCTTCCGAAAGAGCAATCAGCAAAGCTGATGACACCTCTCGAGTGTTGGGTATCCCCACATGGTATCTTGTATGAATACCCGACGTAGATTCCTTCCTCTCCTTCTACATCCCTGCATCGCTGTGGGCTTGATCTACGGGTAACTGACAGAAAAAAACAACTATCCCGTAAACTTAAGTTCCCTTTATTTCTTGCCCTCTTCAGGGCAAAGTTTACATTGCTGGAACTTATGTTTAAAGTCTCAGTGGCATCTGGAATCAACTTATGTGTTTACCTTAGTTTCGCCTTGGGGCAAGAATCTCGCAGCCTTGTCTTTGTTGGAAATGAAAACCGTTCCTTTGGAACACTTCTGGAGAGTTGTAAGTCTATCAAAAGGTATAAATAAACCCTAAGCACTAGCTCACAAGACCGGCGTGAAGTGTTCTAAAGTGACTATTGATCTCGCTCAGAGAGGCGCAGATTTTTCAGTGGAATTAGTTTGAATAATCCTGTTTCGTTTCCCCTTTTCTGTCAGATGGCGGGCTACTTGTAAATCGGTCTCGATAAAAACCGAGCCATTGATTTGCCGCTCGTTACCCATTGAATACTGACTAGTTTCGGAAACGTCATTCTGCATGAAATTTTAATGTCTGTGTACTATTCATTACAACTCGGGTTCCAGACAGTCGTTGCTAAGCCGACAAATGTTTAATATCGGTGATAATGACCGAAGATCCCGGTTAAGATAGACTAATTATCATGTGAGTTCGCTATTCTAAGGGAATCAGTTTATTGTACCAACAAGGATATGCGTAATCAATAGAGGTTCGTTGTGATGAATTTGCACCTATACAATTCAGATACGATTCTGATACAACCAACCTCTTATCAAAATCAGCTTAGTCTGCTGAGAGGGGATTTGTGCCACGTATCTACACAGATCCAGTTGAACGAGACCGTAACTCAACTGTGCCTTGTATAATGAACATTCACATGTAGCTGTGCTAGTTTGGTCATTCAGTCATCTTATTTTGAGGTGAATATCGATAGCGGAAGAGGAACGGCACATTTTGTGTCATTCTTCGATTGCATTAGGTGTCATTTCGATAGTTAATGGACAGGTATGCAAATCCATCCAGAGAAAGTTGTTGGAAAATATGTACATTACTTACGCCGACCGCATTCACCAGGTTAGGGGCTAAACGGTAATGGACGATTCTGATGTAGCGATATACTGATCAAATATTCTAGGAGAATCAGCGAGTTTTATTTCGAAAGTTTTTTCTGCTTTGAACAAAGATAAAAGACCTATAAAATGGTCATAATTAAGTGTTGAGTGTATATGAGATGCACTTAGGTGCATGGTCCCTGACATATATCAAGTTTCCTGTTAGCTCTCCTAACTATGGCCACCAGAGGAGAAATATACATGAATCCGGGCACACGATTCTGGTGATGCTTTGAAATCAGCGTTGGACCACAGTGTATCACTCGCGTACTACTGTGCTATCTAGTTCAACGAATGCTCTGATGTATGAGAAATGTACTTGGAAAGTTAAGGAACTTAGTGGAAGCCCAATATACATAGCATAGGTACTAGCAAGTCCAGCTCCCAATCGATCTGGATGTCACGTGTCATTATGCAGCGCTACGAGTCCGGTCGAGCGTTGTACCCAAGGTTGTTTTTCTCAATGTCTCGAAGGATGTATCCTCGGCAGGATAAATTCAAGAAACATTTTGTCTTTACAACCACGTCCACCACATTCAAGGGATGAAGTTTAATCTAGCGAGCGATTTGTCTTATGCACTTTTACGTCTAGATGATAAATTCAGAAGAGAATAATAGAAATAAATGAATTAGTGGGCAAAAACTGCCATAGCGGCTGATGAGATGACACACGTAATCTTTGGTACATAGTGTGGTCTCGTCACACTGAAGGTTATCCAGAGTTTACTCAAGACTTTCACGAGCAAGTACTTGATTCCAAGACCAGGTTTGTGCCAATGCTGTGGATAACACGTGGCATCTGATTAGTCAGTCTAATATGACGAAATCAGGCACGGTGACCTGGAAGGAATGCTTGATTGTTTGCAACCCGGCAGTTAGAATCGAGTGAGGGTTGACATAAACTTTGGTTCAGCATATTTGCTCCTATTGCACCCAAAGTCCTTTGAACCAGTTATAGAAACTGATGTATTCCTAATGCACTGGTCTGAGCTAAATAATACGTGTTATTCTGGTATAACCGACTCTCAGATAACGAAAATCATAAATTAGGATTATTACACTTCCATGAAAAGGCTTGAATACTCGAAAACAAGCTGTCTAATAGTGGGTGAAACAGTTTTGAAGGCTAAAAACCGGTATAGTTTCAATGAACGAAAAAAAATAACGTGGAGTGAGACTGACATCTATTGATGCAAGCACCCATAGTTGACTACATTGGGATTATATCCATGTAAGTGATCGGATTCGCAATGACATTTATCAGTCCAACGGGCAAAATCTGTTTTCCGACTTTGGTCAATACGAATGGCACTGCTGGATCGGTTGGGAGACCATCATATAGATGTCCGAAATAACTGAACAACGATAGACGTAGGACTCTGCCACAGCTTTATCAGGGACGCATACTGTCTGTTTATACGGCCTTCGTAAGGTACATAAAACAAGTATCGCGTTACGTTCAGTTTTGGACACGACCACCACAGTTAGCCAAGTAGTTATGCAGTGTGTTAGAACCAATCAGAGCTAAAACGGCGTTTCGTTTTGTTGACAGTTTGGATGATATAAATGCTTTAAACAAGCTGGACAAGTGGCTGGACAGCCACTTGATAACCCAAAGTGGCTTACCGAACTCACAGCAATTTCACTGGTCTTAACAATGGAATTTGATCGATTTTGATCAGATTGACGTGTGCCCGCAGTTTTGATCGATGTTCCTTGTTTTAGGTATGTATCTTAGCCAGTAAAGGGATATCGAAATGGTCACTCTCGCTCGAATGATCTTGTTCAAGATTTCCTTCTGCAAATGAAGCCCATCTATGCTAAAAAGCAAATGACACTGTGCAGCTGTTTCAGTCCTATTGAGAATCATCAGTACTGCGCATCTCATGAACTCCAGAGTCTCGAACGCGGGTTCCCCCGGGTTAGTAGTTTGAACACTTAACCGTTTAGCCATGTGCAACCAACCAGCAGTGTGATTAACTCACACGATCACGTGATCGAAACTCCTCAGAGTTTTGTGAACTACTCATGATTTCCAATAAGGGTGATACAGCTCTATAGTGCTTCCCGGGTTTTCAAGATGGGCTAGCTTCACTTACAAGACGAAATATCAATCGAAAAATTTATTTCCGTTTACACGAATCAGAAGCACACAATATACTACCTTTCCTTAACATCAGGGTGGGACCTCTTACGCCAGCTCTGAGTGCTACAGAGCCATTCTTTGAAACTTTCACAGTCATGCCGTTTCACTAAAAACACTTTTTTCCGTTTCACCTCGCCATGTACCACCCAATTTATTTGTAAGTCCCCGTTGCAGTTGCCCTCTGTAAAATATCTCCTCTTCTAACCATAATTTACCCATTTAAATTAGCATAAAACGAATAAGTTTGTCCGCCAAACACTCTATACCACAATGCCTTCGTTTGCGTTGATGTTATGGCCGCGCGTCCTCGAAAAAAAGGTGTAATCTGCTTTGTCCCGCAAAGTAGTTTGACAAACTTGATAGTCTATCCAGTACCGCTTATATTGTGATAAATTGACCAAATGTCAGAGGTAGGGTTAGACGTTTTGATGAACAGAACACAGTCAGCCCCTTGATGGAGTGAATCCCCTTAACAGTCACGAGAGCTGTTATACCATCTGTCATCGGCCGCGCTATTCACAAACGTCTTCATACAAGAAGCACTTGAGTATATTTTGTCAATAAGTATGAAACGTCCAGTGTGCCACGCATGGATTTCCAGGAATGATCTAGAAAACCGCTCCTGCTATGCACATGTAATGTGCGATTTCAATTAATCGACAATCTATAATTCCAGCCAGGTGACGGAGGTCATTGATCTAGGACTCCTTCCAAAACGTAGGTCAGAAAACGTCCTAACGGTTGAAGAATGTCACCAAGCATTTCGTCGTTTGTAGATCATGTATTCTGTGTGAGGAACAGCGGTCAGAAAGAAGACGAGGTTCTCGAAAGTCCCTTCGCAGCATTTGCTCAACTGACGTTTGCATTGATAAAAGAAACCAGTCATTCCTGGGTGTTCCGGCTACTAGGGTAACGGTGATACTACTGATGGGCGAAGCATGCGAGTAGTATGTTTTCTTCTTGTAAATTCGCTTGGCGTCCCTTGAAAAGGGATATCTATTTGCGATGTCGCTTTGTAGCATTTGCTTGGATTTTAGCAACAGTTAATGAATATCCAGGAAAGTTCAGGAAGACGCGTGCAAGGAGATGATGGGTATTCAGTTTTTGTAAACAAGAGGGTTTTGCTTCCCTGTTCAAAAGTCTGTAACTTTACCGTTGACATTTTCTAATAAATACTCCTCAGCGAAGACCTTCTTCCTTTCACTAGTAGACAAGAGGAGTCGGGGTAAAGAGGAATATTCCATAAGATTATACATAACGGCCAAATACGACCAGTTTACTAGTATTGTTTGGAACATTGTTTGGCGGATAAAGTAATAAAGATACGGATCGAAGGCACCACACAATAAGAGTTGGCCTTCTCCATTGACCCGTCTATTCAGAATGACTATGCTCACATATTTATCGCTACTTCCACCGAGAGTCCTAGGCCGCCAAGTCACACACGGGCAGACATTTTGCTTGTGTCCACTTTTGAAAGTAGAGATCATTACCATCCCAAAAAGGCTGTGACCAAAATTTGGAAAGCTGTTCAAATCGACAACCACTTTGTTTCATAGTATACTATTGTCCGGCGAGTGAAAGCTAGGCTGCTGACACTCATTGAGCTCTTTTTTTGTATATCATTTCGATCGTCTCTTCTAAGCAAGTCATGGTGGGAATACAAACACAGGCTGCCTGAACATGTTTACACATCTTCACCCTCTAGGAGCTAATCAGTAATATAGCTTACCCCTTGCTAGGCATATCAGGGCCAATCTCTAGAACGGAGGGAGGACTAATGTGGGTGTTCTGCAGAGTTCTCACTACCGTTTTACGGTAAATCAAATGACTCATCGTCTCGGACTGTCGCCGAATCACCAATGTAGCTTCAGAAACCATACTGTAATCCTGGATTGGACTGGGGACATGAAATGCTCCTTCTTCTACTGACCGCTTGTGAGCCATGATAAATTTGTCATCCAAGTGACGTTTCCACAGCTGGAGTCGACCAGTATGTCGTACTGCCTCTGATTTCCGCTCCATGAATCTATTACCTAATTTTGTGTTCGGATATCATCAGTTTGTTTGTTTGTTCCCCACCTCGTAAACACGAATTTTCACATTGCTGTGCATCGTAAAGCGAAACCCCTAGGGACTGGATTGATTTAACCAAACAGAAGGATGCAAAATAAGTAAGCAATTATCTGATTTAAAATAGGCAGTTTCTCTGAAGCATCCTGTGATACTCACCGCACTGCGTTGTGGCCACTATGAACGTTGTCACTCCAAGTGAACTCTCGTGCGCACTGGTATTCAAACACAAAGGCAGCATTTTGTTCCCAACTTATTCATACTTTTGAATGTTAGTGGAGACATATTCACCACGTAAATTGACAGGTCAACACGGGTTATACCATCCAACTGATATTCAACTCAAATGCTCCTAAATGAACCTAACCGTTTCATTTGAACATAAATATGACCGGGACTTGTGAAGACAAACATTTCAAATGATTCTATAACAAATGATCCTACCTCTTATTTTCCCACTATATTGTGTTGTGTGCACTGTCTGAAAACATCTTTGACAGTTTTGAATGAATTGGAAAAAGTTTGGAACCGGTTGAGAAGTCATCGTTTCAGAAGAGCTTGATAAACAGTCGGTAGTTTTTATTTGGGCAACGTTTGGCTTTTGACATTTGTTGACCTGCTCACTTGGCCTGATCAAGCTTTTGTGACAAAAGCAAAACGTTGCCCAAATAAAAACTACCGATTGTTTATCAAGCTCTTCTGAAACCTTTGACAGTTGTTTGGCAACCATGTGTGTGGCATGCGACGAAGACTTCCACCCATTCCCAAAAGCCATCACCAGGTTTTTAACGAGAAACTCAATATATTAGCCATTTTCGCCGTAAGCGGAGTCACTCAGGAAATGGCAAAGGTATTCAATGGGTGATCGAAGCACCTGGCTGTATCTCATAGGATATGTTCCTCGGTAATGCGCACTGATGATGTCTCCTCGTATGATGACGAAAGGTTTACAAGTCAAATGCCAAGCTCGGCGAACGCATCAACAGCCACTTGATCAACAACCGATGTGTTCCTCGTTGAAACAGCTCTGTGATTCTACTTTTTTGGTTATCGAGACTCAAATCTGGACTCAATCAGAATGACAGTAGAGATGTACAGTCCATTAGTAATGATGTATAGCACGAATAAATAGGTATCACAATGCGAAATTGAGCGCTATAAAAGATGCTTTCAGTGCCATTGAGGAGGACCACAAAGACCTAACTCGAGTGTATATAAGTGAACCGATAAAACAAACTGGTCAGCATTGGTCAAGGAACAAAAACGGATGATGTAATCTGGAGTCAAATCACACACCAAAGTAAATTTTCCAGGTATGTTTTCAAATGACGCCCGTATAAGACACCCCAGATGGTCCAACAAGAGTCTTTAACCTTCCAATCAATTGGAAAATGTTTGGGACCGATTGGGAAGTCATCGTTTCAGAGGGGTTTGGTAAACAGCAATAAATCCACCGAGTCTTTGACCTTCTTCACATGAATCTAACTATCACCGACTTGAAAAACCCCATGTAAGATTTTCAGCTCGGCGTCACAATGAATATCCCCAGAAGTTCTATCCCAATACCGTGAAGTACCCGACAAACCGTCATTAGACTTTGTAATTTGAACACCCTGTAAAAAAATTCAGACAACTTGTGAGTGGTCACGAGTCACGTCGTTCATGGGAGAGGGAAAACAGTTAAACGTAACCTACATGCGAAGAATGAAGTCTGACTTCTTTGAAGCGTTGGCAACTATAACTGTTCATCACAAATTACCGTTGGTCATGCGTTTACTTACTTTTTCATGCAACGCCAATAACATGAGGTTTTACACAACAAATGTAGCACCAATTCATTCAGGTGGGTTGTTGCCAGTCTGAATGATGCCTACACTCATTCTGTCAAAAGTGCCATCCTTCAAATGTGTCATTCTGACAAATGCACCACATTTGACATGTCTCATACCCAACAAAATGTCTTCGGTGGAAATTCCACTTCGGAAAACATCACCTGGTGAAAAATACCAAATCCTCCAATATATTTTTGCATTCCACTGAACCATTCAGGCGGATTCTAACCGAAGTAAAGTCTCCTAAATTTTGGCCGGTGTTTGTCGGCTATAGGTAGAAATACACAGGAACGCTAGGCGTTACGACTCCTCTCTTATAGCCTGAACTTATTTTCTACCACTGTAATTGATGTGCTCGCTGTCTCTCCTTCTCATAGATGGGATACTTAATGATCCTGCATTGCGCTCTAAACAGGCAGAATAGATCAGAGTCCAACCTAACTGTAAGGTATTTAGAAAACTAATAAGGGATGCTTGTTGATGATGACTGGGTACAGAAATGATTAAAGGTCTTTCACATGTAAAAAGAATCCCAATGCTCTCGCTTGAATTCGCCTGCTGGATCAACTTAGGAGCTGTGGCTACATACGGTGGGTCCTGCCGACGTCGATACCCCCGGTGTAATTCATCACGGTGCTCGGATTGTCTAGATGTGAGGATTCCGCAATCCTAGGAAAAAGTGACAGATCACCCCCCCCCTCCCCTGATGCACACAGTACTTTGCCACAAACGTCCCTTGAAGGGGCGAAGCTCCACTAATCAGATCAAAATTACTGCTAAGATCTATGAAACGTGTTTGGATATATTTGCTTTGGCTCTTAAAAATGGTTCCGTTAAACAAACATTAGCATTCGTAGTGTCCTTTTTTGTTCATAGCCAACAGTCGCATGATAGTAAGCACCGGTGTGTCTATAAATTCAAGCAGAACCGGGATGAATTAAATATGGCGGTATTTTGTGGGGACCCAAGGAGGTGAATTTGATGGAGGTGTAGTCCTAGGGGTTCTCCATCCTTCGACGACTTGTGAATCTCAAGGTGCACAACTGAGGAGGTGGTAGGCGGGCGCAGAACACAGTGCTTTATAACTATACACCATCGGGTCTACTGGCCTTATTTGTGGGCAGCATCCGCTTACCCAGTGGTGGCTCATGCATACACGCCTTGGTCAAATAAATGTATCCAAAAGTTTCGCGTTCATGCTTTTGGTAATAAATGAGATACCTGGCGATTTCAAGGGGACGACCAGTTGCTTGGGACAAGAAGCACACACCCCAAACTAAGTAGCGCTAGTCAGTTTTCTCTGTTTCATCTGTACAACGATGGTCACAAAAAGCCACGTCTAGTGCCGTCGTAGATTTGAAAATCCTGGATCGCCAGAGTGGTGATGAGTGTTTTTGCGCATGTAAATCGGAACAGCACGGTGTTCTTACATTTGTTACAGCATGACTTGGCAGGTCTACCACGATCTACCACGATGTGTATAATACAATAAACCTGTATCTCTTCATATTTCCATTGCCATATTCTTGAGAGAAGAAAGTTTTGTTGGGTTGGAAGTGGCGCGTCCTGATCAGCTGACCCCGTGTTGAACCCAATAGTGACCTGGAAACAACGGAGTTAAAGATAGGGGAAACCCATTATCAAGTTGTATTATCAGTTATAGGCATCACTTTTGCTTACTCGTCAAATTTATTCATCTACAAACAGGTTGTAGCTCAGTGATGACCGCAGTAAGGTGCATGATTACACAGACTGGACAATTACATACACGCACGAAATATTGTCGTTTGCGTTAGAACCCATTAGACAGAATACTTATGAGATGCACTGTAAATGCGCAGATTAATTTTGGAAGCACCTATTAAAAACTTGATTCCAGCAAACATTGACAACTGTTCAGTGACAACGTAGAACATGTGTGCACAATCAGGCGGACATACGATACAACTTATGAGTGGGCACTGTTGTCAGCTTCATCATATCCCCAGCCAACAACTTGACTCATTACAATCAGCAAGCAACAAGCTTGGATATCATTGTCATTCTACGTATTTATCCGTTTGTGTCCGGATTTATTATGATTAGCGTATCAAATGACGGATGACTTTGTCGCTAATCCTTTCGCTTCCATTTGCTGATTGGTTTAGCAAACCACAAATCGATTGGTCGAGGGGAGACATGTGTGAAGGCCTAACGGTCCAAACAATGGCATCAGGCGCGATGCGTGAATGAACATGCCACGTCACGAATGCGGTTTAATAAAGTAACAAACAGTGATGGAATTCTCAGTATCTGGCTATCCGGAACAGAAAAATGATCGGTAGCATTCCCCTTGCCATCAGCCCGGTTTTCAATTCGCAATTAGAGTTGTATGAGACGAAGAATTTGCATGCGGACGCACAGAAGGTAGGCAAAATTCCGGCCAAAAATGAAAACAACAAAACGCTCCTCTGCGAAAAAGAAATTAAACAAGAGTGGTGTTCACTTATCCCTTCATTTGGTTCATTTACTACGTTTAATATACAACAGGTGGTGGCACACCGGAGAACAAAAACAAAAACGAAACTTTAGTCATTGTGCATTCAGCAATTGTTAGATCGAAGTCATAGATACATGCATCTGTGTTACACGTGTCTTGGCGCCCTTTATGGTGCCATCTAATTCCCAGAAAAGCAATCCGTACCCATGTTAACCTCCTTTGTAAATACCGGGTCTGTGCTGCACAAAATACTCCAAGGAATATCCTGGTTTTATGTCAAGTTCTTAGTGGCGTGGATGTCCGAAATTTTTACCAACCAGTTACCATGCTGAATAGCTTCAGATTCGGTTCGATATCAGTCGCGTTTTCGGAAATAATGTGGCAGAAAGTTGAGGAACTGCTACGAATGGTGACAGTGATTTCTACCATTTATGACTGGTTTGAAACTCTAAGTCGCCTTATGAAGGTGCGCGTTGTCGGGACCCAAGAAGAACAAGCAGTAATTGGGCCGGGAGAACGCTGCGTGGATCACCTCTACACATTCTATCAAGTGCTAAGGCAACAGTATGAGTACCGGCACACTAAACTCTTGGTGTTTCTAGACTTCAAAGTTTTTTGAATTCCATCGACTGGTTATTTCT